CTGCCCAGCAAAAGACAAAAGCTAAGACTTTAATCAGGGACATTTTTGCAACTCAGCACACAAAGACTGCCATGGGAAAAGAATATTATCTTTTTATTTATTTATTTATTTTGAGTTGGAGTCTCACTCTGTCGCCCAGACTGGAGTGCAGTGGCCGCTCCCGGCCACCGCAGCCTCAGCCTGCTGGGCTCCAGTGATCCTTCTGCCTCAGCCTTCCGAGTAGCCGGAATTACAGTCATGCGCCACCACACCCAGCTGATTTTTTGATTTATTGTAGAGATGAGGTCTCGCTGCCCAGGCGGGTCTCGAACCCGCGGGCTCAGGCAATTCACTCACCTCAGCCTCCCAAAGGCGCGGGATTACAGGCTGAGCCACCGAGCCCAGCTCAGAATATTATCTTAAAGTTGTATTCACCCATAAAAAATTCCAAAGTATAGGAAGAAGAATTGTTGTGAGTAAAATTCAGCAGAAATAAAAATAAAAGGAAGAATACTCCAAGACCTCAAAATAATAGAAGTCTGAAAGACTATTAACTAGTTTTATAATTATGTGAACGTAAAATAAAGAATAGCAATTATAGTGAAAATATAGGACAGACAAAAGAAAAAGTTAATAGGTAAGATGATAATATCAGAAATCTAAAAAGTAATTAAAACTTTAAAATCCATTAGTGAATTAGATACAGATAGACTAACAATGTTTGAAAGATAGACCTTTGGGAATATATGCCGAACGCAGATAGTAAAAAAGAGTGAGAGAAAGTATGGCAGATAGACTTCCGAGATGACCCCATGGCCCCAACCTCTTGGTGTTTATTTCTTGTGTGAGCCTCTCCCTGTGAGTATGGGCAAGACCATTATCATATTCTAAGAAACCGGAATATGATAATGATGAGGGGATGTATGTGATTATACATACATGATTGTGTGATTATGTTATATAAGACCGTAATATCCAATTTCTTAGAATTTCTCCCACCTTTTTTTTAGTTTTTAGGGAATAAGCAGCTATGTTGGGGAGCCCCAGATGGCGAGGAGCTATGCAGGCTGCCTCCAGGAGATGAGGGCTACCTCTGCCAACAACTTCAGTGAGCTTAGAAGTGGATCCCCTCAGCTGAACTCAGATGAGATCACATCCCTGGCTGACACCTTGATTGCTGCCTTGTGAACCTTAAGCAGAGGACCCAGGTAAACTTTGCCTGGTCTCCTGATTGGCAGAAACTATGAGATAATAAACGTGCATTGTTTTAAGTTGGTAACTTTGAGGTTTTATTGTTACAGAGCAATAGATAAATAATACAAACAGATTACATATATAGAGAATGGAATATAAAATTTAATAGATTTATAATATGAATCCCAAATGTATATACCCAGTCCAGATATGTCTTTTAAACTACAGAATGGAATATTCATACTGATTAATTAATAACTGCATTTAGATATCCTAGAGAACCTTAAATTCATTCGGTTTTTCAATCAACAAGAATTTAAAAATAATTTCACCAAATTCAACTTATCATTCCCTCAGACCTACACCTCCTCTCAAACAATCAAGAGGTCTTACTGCTTCAAACTTTGCTAATCTATCCTCTTTCCTACATAATCTTCAACTATATAGGGTAGTGCAAAATCTCCCTTTGTGTTACTGCAGCAGCCTCCTGTGTCTTTCTGGGTTCAGTTTTGCCTTCTTTAAGTCATTCTCTATGTAGAATCCCAAGTGATCTTTCTAAAAGGCAAGTATGATCATGACACTTTTCTTCTTTGAAACCCTTCAAAATTCTCCATTGTTCGTGGGACAAGAAGCCAAAGTCTCTGCCATGGCATATGCTTCTGCCTGTCTCGACAGCCTCAATCTCACTACGGTCCCACACAGTGTCATTTCCAGCCATGGTGCACAGCCCCTGTAACCCTCCTGCCTGAAACATCCTCTAGTGTTCCATCCTTCCTTCCACAGCCTAGCTCTGGGGAATCTCAGTTCAGGTTTGGGAAACTTTCCCTATCTTCCACATCTACCTGTAAGACTGGACAAAATGTCTCCCCTATGTGCTCTCTTATAGCTGGCACTTAATTCCATCCTAACACTGACCCATAAACCACCCTTCTCTCTGTGTTTACCTGTACCTTCTACAAGATCTTTGGCTTGTTGTGAGCAAGTGTAGTTTCTAATTCATAGTTCTATTACCAGGATCCAGTATAGGTCATGGCACATAGTAGTTATTCATTAAGCATTTGTTGAATAAATGAAAAAGAACTGAGAAGTAACACAGCTGGTATTAGTAATGACATTGTCAGTGTAGAAACAGATTTTTTTTTCTTTATTGGTTTCCTACCTAAATCACTAAACTCAAATTTTGTGTACCACCATTTCCAGAAAAAGCTTCATTTTAATTTTGCAAAATTAAAGCTTAATAACTTATATTTTAAAACTCAGAAACAGCAAAAGAATATTTAAACAAAATTTAGTGAAGATTTTAGAAGGTGAGAGATTTTGATTGACCTTGTATTGAAAAACATAACAGAAAGGATTGTGTAATTAAACATGGCTTATCATAGTCCCTGGCATAGAGTGAGTCCTCAATGATGTTAATTGAATTTAGTTGTCTCTCCATGCTACCAAAGTATGACTTTCTTCAGACTTGTCTATTCTCTCTGTTTCTCTTTTCTATAAAATGGAGGGTGATAAAACCCACACTCTATGCATTTACACAAGAAGGAGCCATGGCCAAAAACAGAGACACAGCTCTGTTTAGTTTGAATGTTAACTCTGAAAAATGGGTAAAATGAAATTAGTTTTTATTGAGTAAATACAGGCTATGTTTTAGAAGATTGACCTAGAGGAGCTAATGTGAATTTCTGTCATTGAAATGAGAGAGACTATTTTTAGAGCTAAGTTGACTTATGGCTAGATTTGGCAGGGACATTGTAAAATAGTAAGGACAATTGGGGCTGTAATAGATATTAGAATGCCAACTAGAGGATTAGTTGCCAGAGAGGGAAAACCCATGGGACCTTGACCTTGATGCCGCAGGTATTTACTTTCAGTGACACATTTGGGAAAAGATAGCACAATTCCAAGAGATCAGCAGTTACACTTCTGTGTTGTGTGTGTGTGTGTGTGTGTGTGTGTGTATGCCTGGATGGTGGACAGAGCCGAGGCAAACAAAGACAGGTATCATCAGAGGATGAGAAATAGATGATATAGAAACAAAGATTTTATTTTTCTATGCAAACGTGTAAAAAGCCTTAATCACACACATTGCAGTCGAAAATACAGAAGAATAAAGAGAAAAGAGACAGTATTCTTTTAAAAGTCAGATATTTCATGACAAAAAGACATTTGGAAAACAGAAAAGCAACTGACAATTACAGTGACAACAGAGGCATCAGAATTGTACAGAGAAAGAGGTTGTGAATAAATATATCGTAAATATGTTTTGTAGGGAGCATATTACTTTTGGAACGACCTGTATGTATATAAGTACAGATATGTCTAGAAGGGAATGAATGTGAAAACTATACATATGGTCTTTGGTTCTATTCTATTTTATTCTTATTGTAAGCACTTGTGAATGCAAATATTGATGGGAAGGTTTTCCTCATGTCTCTTGTCACAAAATTTAACTTTGGAACAGATCGTCTGAAGCAGCATGGCACACGCAACCTTGGATGTGAGGGAAATGAGTGAATATAAAGGAAAGTTTGCAAAATTAGTTGCTCCCAGTACTGCCAGTACTCCAAAGGGTATGAACTTGTGACATAAAACCTTCTATTAGCATTGCAAAATAAAATGGGATACATTTCCTTTGCTTTTATAGTATACGTTCATTGTCCTTGCCGTTGGAATGGTATATTGAAATTTACCTTGGTCATTTCCACAGAAAAACAACTTTCTTAAAACAATTTAAACTGAATGAGCATTGGATATCATCCAATGGATAAATTATTCTCACATTTTCATACCAGGGCAGCTCCAAAAGACATAGACACATTTACAAAATGACATTTGGCAGGCCGTTGTTATTTCAGTTGCTTTCAGCATTAATTCATAGGATCTAAGTATTTTTCCTTTAAATGAACACAAATAATGTCTCCTTTGGAAGGATGTATCCACATGAAGATATTTGACACGAATGATAACATGCTAACAAAAAAATATTAGCAAATAAGGTTTTCTTCCAACTGCTATTTTATAATCTCTATAATTATAATAGTCAAGAATATATTGATTTTTGCATATCAATTATACTGGTGAGGCATAATTTGAGTATTGATACTAGATAATTCTCTTTTGACATTTTTTAGGGACTTGCTATAATTCTCTGCTTTCTCTTTATATATTTGTCATGTATCAGAGAAGTGATAATTCATTAAGTAGCTTTGTATAAAAACATAAACAGATGTGATCAGTAATTTGAATCAGTAATTTGATTAATAATTTTCAAAATTTTGTGTCATAAATAATAGATGAGAATGAAAGAACATAAATGAAAATAGAATCTTAGTGATTGGGGGCAACTTACAATGTGAGAGTACATATGTACAAAAATGGAGGAGGAAGGAAATGGCTTCTTAATTGCAGTGGTCATTCAAATATAGATGTGTCCGGGATGATAAAATGTTTGTATTAAATATACTCAATAATGAGCTATATCTGATTATATTAAGAACAATATTTTTTCGTATTTAAAACTAAAACAGGAAAATCTCTTATATATACTCAAAGTGCTTATGTTATGTTTCAAATAGGCTTTGAAGTTAATTTAATTTTCAAGATGGTTTTTATTTTCCCTTTTATCCCCCAGAGATCTAAACTGAGTCAAACCATTTCTAGAAATTCAATGGCTTTTTCATTTGGGACTGTTCAAATGTATGCTAATAATCTTCCTGTTCACCCCACTCAACAACTGGCTCATCATTCATGCGCAGAATGAGGTAAGAAAGAAGCTGAAAGAGATTCTGCCAGAGTAAGAGAGAGACGTAAAAGGAGAGGCCGCTTACGTCCAATTCGCAGCGCTCACCAGCAAAGGCAACATCACAGAGGCACTGGAATTTGTTGAGGAAGTCCTGGCACAGGCCTCCGTTGAAGCAAGGATCAGAGGCACACTCGTCAATATCCTGTTCACACCTTGGAAATAAACAGAAACAGCAGAAACCCAGGTCCTTGTTGAATAAATTGGCTGTGAAATGAGGAAAGAAAAAAATGTGCCTTATCTACCTAGAATAACACAGTTCTTATCTACCAATCCTCACACAATTTATGTATACTTGATAGTGTGGGAGATGGTCCTTAAAATTCCTTTAACAAATTTTGATTTTAATGGAAGTAATACACACACACACACACACACACACACACACACACACACACACACACGAACACAATTAACGAGAATGAGAAAACAAATGCAAATATTTAGAAAGCAAGTGAAAACTGGGCCATGCATTAAACGAATTTCTCCCTCAAGAGCATTAGGGGGTTGCCATCTTATGTAAATGTTCAGTTTATTAGGAGCACAATAGGAGCCAACCTGGAGTCTGCAGGACAAATCTACATTCAGGCTGTTAGGATTCTAATGCATCCGTGCCCCTGAGCTAGCTAACAAGAAAAACCCACCAAAGAGAGATGAAAAATTTAGTTTCCTCTGGAAGAGTCTGAATTATTTTCCTTTGAAACCCCCCCATTTTTTCCTAACAAAAGCAAAAGTAGACAATTAGAAGATTTTACTTGCTAATAAATCTGTGTTCCAATAACCACATATAATTTTTGAAAGTTCAGGTGGAATGACTTTTAAAAGCTACATTTTCTAAAACAAACAACATCAATTTTAAGGTAAATTGAAGTTTTCCTCGTCCCTAGAACAGAACTTGTTTGGGTTTTTTTTGTATATTCATTGATTGATTCATCAATCATTCTTTTTTTTTTTTTTTTTTTTAAATATCGACGTCTCACTCTGTTGCCCAGGCTGGAGTACAGTGGCATAATCACTGCTCACCTCAGCCTCAAATTCCTGGGCTAAAGTGATCCTTCTGCCTCATTCCCTCAGTAGTTGGGACTGCAGGCACATGTCTGGCTAATTTTTTTTTATTTTTTGTAGAGACGAGGTCTCACTATGTTGCTGAGGCTGGTCCTGAACTCCTGGGCACAAGTTATCCTCCCAAAGTGCTAATAATCTTCCTGTTCACCCCACTCAACAACTGGCTCATCATTACAGGCTTGAACCACTGTGTCCAGCCTCATTCAGTATATATTTATCTAACACATTCCATATGCTCTGTTAAGACCTTGATATAGAGCAGTAACTAAGACATCTATTTTACTTTAGGAAATTTTATAAAAACTTAAAACTCAAGAATCTCTACAGTGTAGTGTATAATGTTGAAGATTGACGTAAACAATTTTTAATTTCCTCTCTTCTTTCCCCTATCTTCCAAAAGTTACAACTTGCACGTACTGGTCAGAGATTAATCACTAGGCTCAAAATGAAAGGGATGAGGAAGTGGGACAAGGCCAACCTAAGCTATAAAGGAAAACAAAGATTTCTTCCAAGAAAAACAGCTCCTTATCCCGCTGGATACCAAGCATAGCTGAGACATTTTGTTTTCCTTTTTTGGCATATACTTTTGGACTGGAAGAAGACTTCTCTGATTAGATCTGAGCAAAACTTAACAACTCTCTCGGGAGCCTGCCAAGCACTCTCTGCCCTGGGTGGGCCAGAATGTTCACACCATCCGCCATTCAAAAGCTGCAAGGATGACACTATGAAGTTGGAAGTTTAACCAAGGCAGGAAAGAAGTTAATTTACTAGAAGATGGCTTTTCAATATCCTTTCATGTTATGGAAGTCACAATTCCCAGGCCGTGGGAGATTGCCTGATATCGTCTAGTCTTCCTCTATCTACTCTTTATGGTTTTCTTACCTATTTCTCTTTTGAGCTAAACAGTGAACAACACATACACATGCTTTATAAGCATCATTAGAGCTTTCATTAGTGGCTGGAAAGTAAAAATAACTCTATTAACACCCACTGAATTAACTAATAATAGTTAAAGACTTTGAAAGTACAGAATCTATTGAACACAGGTTCACTCTTTTAGGAATAATTTTGCACCAAAGAAGTTTATCCAGATAAGAAGTCTCCTGGGAAAAGCAGGAAAACTCTGAGCTTTCTTTTCTTTTCTTTTCATGTTTCAAATTGATAATTTGAATTTAAATGCCAAATATATCTTTATTTAATAAATAAACATCAGAGGAAAAGAAAATGTTTATTGTAAACAGAGACAATATATGAATAGTAGAGAAATATAATCCAAGGCTTTAAATTACCTCTATGCTTTGAGCCATTAAGTGGAAATTGTGACATTCAACCAGCAAATAGCTACCACTTAAAGATAGGTAAGGAGTTCTTCAGAATTTAGGGCAAGAAAATATTTGCAATATTTTGAAGATATATAGAATTGAAGGCCAACTGAATGGTTTCTGATAATCAAGTAGCATGATAGGAATTAGTGTAATGAAAAGCACAGTATATCTGTGCGTGTTAAGACTATCTCCTTCCACGCACAGATATACTGGGACTACTTGTGCCACTTATAACCAGCAACAGAAGGCAGGTTGTGAAAGAAAGGAACATTAGAAGAGTAAAATGCGGATGCTACTGTTTGGTAAAACTGGCAAAAGAGATCAGTATTTGTGATGCCCAAAAAGCTAGCTAAAAAATATAAATTCAAATTAATCTGAAGTGCAATTGTCATGGAGCACACACAGTCAATATTTTATTAACTACCATTATGGGGAAAATTAATGCAGTCAAAATCTCTTTGTCAGATGTGTTTGACTTTATTTAATTTGTCTAATGTAGAAAGTTTGATCAGAGATCACTGTATCCTACCCTGGTTGGTATATGAGGTGGAGGAGCACTTTTTAATGTATTTTTAAAATTGTGATCAGCAAATATTTATTCATGCAGTTATGCTGGCACACCCAATAGATGAGCAGAGGCTTTGAAGGCAGCTCAACTTTATACAGCATTCATTTGGATTGGCCCCTAATCTGTCACGTATGCTTTCAACCTCAGTTTACACACATGCAAAATGAAAATCATACAACCTTCCTTGCAGAGTGATAAGAATTAGGGATGTTATTTGTAAGGAGTGTGTCATAGTGCTAAACAAATGGATAACTGTTTATTATCTGTTTATATAATATCTATATCAGATTTGGTTTGCAACTGTTTTGGGGACATAGATACATTTGACAATCTGATAAAAGCTATGAAAAGTGCATTTTTCTGCTCTGGACTTCATCTCTAGCCAATCAAACATATATATTCAAGACTTCTCACGTTTGCAACAGGTCACAGATTGTCTAAAGGCACTGACCAACTCCATAGTAACACTCCCTGCATTAAGTGAAGAAGAGTTGAAGGACTTCCCAGGGAAAGGTAGAATCATATGGATAAGGTGTATATACTTCTTGGCTTGTAGGTAATTCTAGGAAGCAATCTTTTAGGTATATTTTATTTTATTTTGACAGCAATCATATTTGCATCATGCGTTAGAGTTGGTGGGGAGAAAATATGAATCCAGAAGTACTTACAAGAAAGAAAAATAGCACATTATACATTTTTTAAAAACATATTTTTCTATTTGAAGTCTTGGCTAATAAAATGTTCTCTCCTTTGACCTAAACTGTAATTTTTCTTCTTTTTTATTGGTTGACTCTGTCCGGACCTATATTTCAACATAGATTTTTCCTATGGGAACTGAGATGAAAAATTAGAGGAGAAAATGAACTTTGAGTAATCCCATCATTCTTCAGCCCAGAATTCTTTTCCATAAAGTTCTAATGTGACTCACCGTTCTCCAGTAAAACCTGGCCAGCATGTACATTTTAATTCAGCCTGGAACTCTGTGCAGTTGCCTCCATTGTAGCAAGTGAGATTTGTCTTCTCATTCCCACAGACTGTTGAGGGTAATCTTCTCTGCCTGGAGAGATAAAAGGAAAAGCCACAGCTGTTTATCTTGTGCATTTCATTCAAGAAAACTTTTCTGATAAATTCATATATGTAGTCGACGCCAAGTTAATTAAGTACTCAGGCCAGAGGAGCTACACATGCTTAATTGCACTGCATTATACAAGAACCACTTTCTCCAGTAAAAACTTCCTGCTGTAGGGTACTGTAACTAGCAGGGCTATACATCTTCCATTTCTACACAGTTTTCATTCGTGAGATAAGATCTATGCCATGGGGTGGCAATAAATTTAGGGTTAGAAAGGAGCTTGCTATAACTAGATTTGCTGCTGCCTTGCTAATAAATCAATAGAGGCCATAGGAAAATTGCATCTCTATAAAGGCCAGGGAAGCAAGGACGGCACTCTGGTACTCAAGCACTCATGTGATTTCTCTGTTGGCTTTCAGAGTTGAACTCCAGTTGCCCTGCCAAGACTTGCTGCTCCCTGTCTAATAATTCATAGCTTCGAAGAATGCAAGCCAAATGCTGTCCGGGAGGTTTGTGTGTAGCACCCGATGGTAACAGCATGTGAATTCAGAGTGTGGCTTTCTTGTACAGCAACAAAGCTGTACGTGTTAATGCATCCTAATAAAAGGCAGAACAAATTGTTAGAAGCGACACAAAACTTCATCACAAGACAAAATCAGTGGTTTGAAGGGACTGATGTTTAAAAAGATTGTAAGAGTGTTGCTTAGGCCCTTTGACCCATGAAGTGTGTGTAGAATATCAGACACTTAATAAATATTCAGGAAATGTAAAACGAATTGAATTTTGCCCGTTGTTTGTGCTGAGTGAATGTGGGGAAACTATCTGATGCTAAGTGTGTCTCTTCCCACAAGAGCTAATCAATTCTAAAAAATAAAAAAAAAAAAATCATAAGGACTTTTCAAAAGAGCCAAAAATGCCAGCCAGCTTTGAAAGAGGTCAATTAGCAATGCAAATCTTAGGTTTAATAAACAATTCCTGAATCTCATTAGAAGGTACTTTTGAGGACTTTAGCCTTTGAGAACTTGACTTTGATGAATTAGACAGGAAAAAAAACTGGAGAACTAGTTACTAGGGCCTAAGTGTTAATTTTACTTCTCCAAAGTCACAGTGGAATCCACTTTGACTCAGAATTTCTCTTGCTTTTAAACAGACAGGTTACCTGTTAGCAAATGAGTTGGTTAACTCATGGGAAATAACATCTGACTGAAATGTCAACACATAGCACCTATTACTCTGCCTTACACAGGCTCTGAACAACAATAACAGTTATGGAGATATACAGCTTCTTAGAGGTATGCCTACATGTTATGTCTGCAAGGAGATTCATGCAATTAAGGTACCACCTCTGAATTAGTGTAATGTCTACAGGCTGCCAACCTATTCCAGGTGTTCTTGCCAAAGTCCTGGAATGTATTACTTGTTAATAATAACCCTCTCACCTCCCCATAATGACTCAACTATTTAGTAAATTTAAAGCAGCATAAGTTGTAAAAACAATGACGACTTCTTACATGGAAATATTGAGGCACTGTGACTTAGAAGAAAAATATTCTTTCTTATCTCTGTTTATAGAAACATGAAGTGGAGGTGGTTAATAGAGCTATATACTGCCTTTATAGTTTTAGGAAAAAATAGTGAAATGCTTTGAAATGGGCAAAAGTATTTACTGGGTATTCTTTCAATGGACTGCTGGGTATTACATAAAGGACTCTCTAGGATCATTTGATTTGGTAGTGAGATATGCCTTAGATTTTCTTTACTAGTTGTACAAGTTGTAAAAAATGATGTTAATATAAATGAATCTTGTTCTTTCATATTAATGAACAATAATTTCTCTGCAGTAAGCCATGCAATTTTAATTGATTGTCACACTACAGAAAAGATGATTGGAAACACTAATTTTGTTGCCTTATAGGTTATTAAACTGTTTTCCATTTATGAGTAAAATCATTTCCTTATTTTCATATGTATATGAATATATATATATAAACACACACACACACATATACACACACACACATATATGTAATCTTTAGGTTGTCCTTTGAACTGGTTTTTGTATCTTACTAGTTCTCTCATTAATTAACGACAAATGAAATAATCAAAGCATTTTATGTTATACTTGTCTTAGAGGCATAATTTCACCTTTTTGAAATTACGTTTGGTCCTTGAACAAAATAGATTGGAACTCCGCACATCAACTTATATGTGGACTTGCTATCACCTCTGCCACCCCTGAGACAACAAGTAAAACCTCTCCTCTTCCTCCTCCACCTCAGCCTACTCAATGTGAAGATGATGAGAATAAAGACCTTATGATGATCCACTTCCACTTAATGAATAGTAGAAATATATTCTCTTTCTTATGGTTTTCTTAATAATTTTCTTTTCTCTAACTTACACTACTGTAAGAATACAGTATATAATATATATAACATGCAAAATATGTGTTAATCCACTGTTTATGCTCTTGGTAAGGCTTCTGGTCAATAGTAGGTTATTAGCAATTAACCTTGGGTAGAGTCAAAAGTTGTATGTGGATCTTTGACTGCCTGGGAGTCGGCATCACTAACCCCTAAGTTGTTCAAGGGTGAACTGTATACTCTAGTCTTTTCAGGATTTTACAATATTTACCTGCCTGAAATAACCCAGGGCATTATTTTTGCGAGGGAAGTCATGCATTCTCTAACAATACTAAAATTCAGCTTTTGCATGTATTGTAAATGTATTTGTTTCCTGAGACCTTAGAGCTGTCAGACCCTGGGGTTACAGTTTGTGAGACATATCCTACCACAGATGATGGAGAAAACATTTTGCTTCAAGGCTGGTTGAAATAAGACCATTCTTACTTGTAGACTATCCCAGCAAGTGAGATCCTGTTTTGACATGACCTAATTGTAATGGAGATTAGCAATGTCAGCCCTGTTCAGCACAGTATATGTGTAAACCTTGAAGAAAGAGCATTCCAATTTGACAAGAAATATGATGTAGAGCATAGCTTCATATGGACTTTATGCTCACCTGCAAAATTTTCCTGTAAAATTTCCAAAACAGAGACAAGAATAGCCATTAGTGTTGCTGATGCAGGTGGCTCCATTTGCACAATGGTGATTCTGGCAATTGTCTATAGCCACTTCACAGTTCACACCAGTGTATCCAGGCTCACATCTGCAGTAGTAGGCTGCAACTCTGTCAGAGCAGTTGCCATGGATACAGGGATTTGAAAAGCATTCATCAATGTTGAGTTCACAGTGTGTCCCTGACCATCCCAAGGGACAGGAACAGTGATAAGAGCTGTAGATGTCTTCACAATTTCCTCCATGCAAACAGGGGTTGGAGTTGCAGGCATTTAACTGCAAACAACCAGTAACCACTGAATTTGTAGAGATTTTGAGAAACTGTTCTCTCTGAGGTTTATTTGTGAAGCCATGAACGTTTTCAAAGTAAGAGAGATAAATGCCTCCGATTTCTATTGTACTTAGACACCCTTGCAAGCCCTTCATATTGTCAATAACTCGGCCACCCACAGAAATATCTGTATTATCCTTCAAAAAGTTAAGGTTTCCAGTAGCAATTGCACTGGTCACAAAAGGTGTTTGGTGGTCTACTTCCATTTGCCACCTGGATGCCTGGGCCAGTGGATCTGTCATGGAAAGAGTTACTTCGTGCCATGTGCCGTCGTTCACTGACTGTAGACTTGTCAGACTCAGCATATAAAAGCTGTTGCCACTTTGCAATTGAAAGAATAATCTGGAATCTTGAATGCTGATATTAAGAAATTCAGGCTCTTTTTCAGCGTTCAATATCTTTACATTTACATCCCTTGTTCTGAATCCAAATGTGATATTGGTGAGTTCTCTGGTGATATTCCCATTGCTTCTGAATAATATTTCACTGCTTTGTCCATCAAAAACAGCATTTCCAATACCTAGAGAGAGAAGGCAATTGTAACCAGCAACTTTAATTATTAAACCTATAGTTTGCTTAATAACCATTATTAACAGTAAGGAGCATCATGCTAATGACATCATATATTGATTGCTCGATACTACATATTGTGCTAGTTGCTTTTATATTCTTTATATTATTAAAAATATATAAATAATATTGAATTGTTTCTAATATACAATCTTAAATGCAGTGTTATTCATATTTATCCCCATTTTATGAAAGAAGAAACTGAGACTCCCAGAAGTTAAGTAATTTTGCTCATAGACATGTAGTTAATACATCATAAAGCTAGAATGTCAATCCTGGATAGTCTGAGACCAAATACCAAACCATAAATTTGTTTTTTATTAAAATTCTAGCATACACCAATTTTTATTTTGCATTTGCTCCTACAAATAAAGCATTGATTATTCTTTTTATACATAAAGAACTTGAGCACAGAAAAGTTACAAATCTAGCTATGGTGGGTGACACAGCAACTTAACAGTAGAATTTGACTTCTGATTAAGTTGGCCAGGAGGCACTTAAAAGTAGCATTTCAGATGACTGATTTATTTATCTGGAAAAACTCTAATCATTTTCCAAGCTACCAACTCTATACCTATACCCAAGTAGTTTCATGTGGTTGGGAAAAAATATGCAACCATATCAATTGCTCTCACTTTATGCCCACATATTATATGTGAGCACAGTACTTGTAGGCAATCTTATTACATTTCTGTATTAAAAAGTGCTTTTTTTCCATTCTGCAAGAACATGAAATCACAGCTCGTTTTATCTCTTAAAATATCTAACCCTATCCCAGCTTATGATCTCCCACGACACTTCCTTGAGAAAACAAGAGAAATAAGAGCTGCTCCAGCTTTTCGCCAAATCTATAAACCTAATTGTATCTGGATCCACTCTGCTTTCCATCCTGTTATAATGGATGCACTGTTCTCATTCCTATCCAAGGCCAACTCTGCCAGTTACGCTTTGGGTTCCATTCATTTTCACCTTTTAAGGCATTATTCTTACATGCATCTTTTTTTCTGTCCTACATTCTGGTTTTCCCTTCCTTTTTGTTGCTTCTCATCAATACACAAATATGCTGTAATTGTTCCAACCTTAAAAAATAAAAACACACACAAGACCTCAAAGTACTACCCTGACATGCCCCAATCCTGCTGCTTTTCTGTTTCTCTACTCTCTTTATGAGCAAAACTTCTCCTACTAGTTTTATATACCTGTTGTCTCCACTTTCTCATCTCCCATTTTCTCTTTAATACATGTCACTCAAGCTGTTGTTTCAATCACTTCACTGAAACCACTTTAGTCAAGGTTGTGATGATAGACTTTCATGTTACCCAATCCAATAGCCAATTCTCTATTCTCATTTTATTCCACTTTTCAGTAGCAATTGCCCTTAAAATACTTGTTACCTGTCAGGCAACACGCCCAACCACCACAAACACCACACCCAACCACCACCATCTTTCATATAGACTAATAACTATTAGTGCCCCTGCTTCTACTGCTCTGTGGGTCAATATAACAACACTCTTTAGTCAAGATCTCCGTTAGTTACCATCACATCTAGAAAGAAACCCTAAATTCTAAATACGATCTGACCCCTGATTAACTTTCCAGTTCCAAATTCTACCACCCTCTTCCTCATTTACATGCCACAGCCACAAGAACTTGTCAATCATTGAAGCCAAAGCGGTTTTTTAATCCACTGTTACATATACCTGGAATATTCTTCCTCCAGATGTTCTCATTCTTGGCTTTTCTTCAACCTTATTATTTGTTCACACATCACCTCCTCTGAGACATTTCCCTGACTACCCAAGTTAAAATAGCTTCCTTCCTGCATCGGTTCTACATTCCATTACTCAGCTTAACTTTCTTCATAGCTCCTATTAGCATTTGAAATCAGGTTGTGTATTTGTCTACTTGTTCCTTGACTGTTCTTCTGCACTAAGACATGATCTGTATGAGATAAGGATCTTCTCTGTCTAGGTTATCGCTAAATTATTCTGTCTAGAATATTGCCTGATTAACTGCAGGTGCTCAGTAGCATATTAAATAAATACTCTATAAAAATAACTCCACCCTTTATCTTAGGACATGAGATAATGATTAGAAACCACAGCAGGAGAAAACGTAAGTGTATCATTCAAGTGTTATAATTCCAAGTATATGGGGGAGGGGATGCAAAAATTCTGGATTTATTTATAAAAAATTGTATTTGTTCTTACATGTTTAAACTTCAGTCACCTTCTAAGTACTGTCCATTTGATATTATACACCTATTGAGACCTTTTTCCACTGCTCAAAGAACGTGTCAATTTTGATGCCTTTTAGTGCTTCTGCTGTTTTTTATTTAATCTCTTCCACATTGGCAAAACATTTCCTCTTGAAGATTTTTTTCATTTGAAGAAACAAACAAACAAACAAATGCCAGTCGAGGCAAGATCAGGTTAATAGGTTGGAGCACGGGGGTCATGGCATTTTGGGTCAAAAACTGCTGAACACTCAGCACGGTGTGGGTAGGTGCGTTGCCATGGTGGAAGAACTAGTCACCTGTTTGCCACAACTTGGGACGCTCTTCCCACAAATTGCCTCTCACAGCAACACTAGCTGGTACACTGATGCTGAGGGGTTCTTAGAACACTCACCTAGCAAGGGAAGCAAGTACTACATGGGGCCCGCCCTCCAAAAGATAATTCTGGTTTTTTTCAGGTCCTCCCTCATATTACTTGACTGAACCCAACTTTCCCTTGCTTTTATTTATTTATTTTTTTACTTTTGTATTTTTCCACCAGTTTTGGGGTTGGAGATTTAGGGGAGCAGAATCTCCTTACATGTTTCTAAGTAAACGTTAAAATGGCAGATCTCAGGTCTCCAACTTTTAAATACATAACACTGTAATGCTGTATAAATTTATTTTACTAGCACTGCTAAGCACACTGAAATCACGTTTTATGATCTGGGTAAAAACTACAATTCACATAACAACATTTATATTTTGCCTATTCTTTGGGGAACTTTGCCATAATAAACACAACTGTAACAAAGGTAAGCTGTAAATTTTAAAATCTTGGTTTAAATCTTGGTAGGATACAGAGATAGAGATGTTTAAAGTCCTACAGTCATTCAGAGTAATGTATCAGCTGTACTCTCAAGAATAGTTCCATTAGACCTAATCTTCTCAATATATTTTACTCGGAAAGGAAAGAAAATATAATGGGGTCATAAGATCTCATAAAATTAAACTTATACAAAGTAGCAAAAGTAAATAGTAGGATTTATACATGCCATCAGGAAATTGATTTACAATTTCCTATTATAAACCTATCGATTCACATTTTCTGTCTTCACTATGATAACTCATCCTTAAAAAAAGAATGCCCAGCCTGGGCAACATAGTGAGACCTCGTCTCTACAAGAAATTAAAAAATTAGCCTGGCATGGTGGCAAGTGCCTGCAGTCCCAGCTACTCAGGATGCTGATGTGAAAGGATTTTTTGAGCCCAGAAAGTCAAGGCTGTGGTGAGTCGTGATTGTGTTACTTCACTCAGCCTGGGCGACAGAGTGAAACCCTGATTAAAAAACAAACAAACAAAAATAAATAAAAAAAAATAAAACCCCAGAACAACTACTACTGGAAGTTTTTGGGATGTGGAGTCAGAATTTCTACTCTTTCTGTAGTGACAATATTGTAGCAGTAAAGATTCACTTCTCTTTTAACATGTGTGTTTAAATCCTAAGCTGCTTTATGTATAGATTGAAGGGCAGTGTAAATCAAAGCTATTGTTCTTATGCTGTCATTGTTTTTGAAAATTTTATTCTTTTTTCCCTGCGAAAATGTTCAAAATGATTTGAATTCCTTTGTAGAACACAACTTTAATATTTCTATCAAAAGATTAATAGTAAAATTAAGAATTGATAAATTATTTTAAATAAAGTGTTCAGAAGTAGAACCAAGAAAAAGTTGCATTTAAAATTCTGTGTCTCTGTCACGCACAGTAGCTCACTCCTGTAATCTGAACATTTTGGGAGGACGAGGTGAGAGAATCACTTAAGCCCAGAAGTTCAAGACCAGCCTGGGCAACAGAGTGAGACCTCATCTCTACAAAAAATAAAAGAATTAGCCAGATATGGAGGATCACCTGAGCCCACAAGTTTGAGACTATGGTGAACTGTGATCATGTCTCTGTGCTTCAACCTGGGCAACAGAGTTAGACCCCAGTTTAACAATGACAACAAATTCTATGACTGTACCACATGAGAAACCAGATTACATTCTTTATGCCAACCCACCATGTTATCTATAAGTGAGTGGAATATATTTCTGAAATATAAAATGTAAAAGCATGTATGTTTGCTACTAAAAATCTTCCCAAGTGTATATGCAGTATACACATAAATTTCATACAAATTTTTTAAATATGTATTTTAAAAATATAGAAACACCAAAGTGAATAAATATATTTTCTTTTCCTCAGTTACTCAGAGCTCAGTCTAAATAGGATGTTGCTACTTAGACTAATCTTTCCTCTAGTTCCATTTCATTATTTCAGTGCAGTATTTTAAAGGTATTTTATGTATTTTTTTATTGTGAGCAGATGATGTACTTAATATCTAGAGCAGTTAAGTGAAAATACTGAGGAAACTTGAAGAAAAATAATAAGTAAATCCATTCATTTAGCAAATACTTATTGACAAGTCAGTTCATGTTTGGCACTGTTGCACTCCAGTCTGGGCGACAGAGTAAGACTCCAACTCAAAAAAAAAATAAAATGAAAAAAAAATAAAGGTTAACAGTAACATGAGAAACCATACAGAAAATTTTCCTTGCCTTGTGAAACTCATATTCTGGTGAGGAAAGAGATGATAAACAAAGTAACAAATGCATATATAACAAAATATTAAGAAGGATCAGTCATATACACATAAATAAAAGTGAGAGGATGAAGAGATGAAGGCCACAATAAAGCTCTGTGTTGAGGGAGCGGTGGAGCCTGACTGAACGGGTGAAGGAAGGACTGCAGAGAGACGTCGGAAGTATATTAAGGGCAATGCCTCAGAGGATTTGTTTCTCACTATACAAGGAAGCAGATAAATGGATGGGGATGAGGAGGTCAAGAGAAACTTTTTGTAGGGAGGAAATTTGATGGTAAGTTTGGATGCCAATGGAAAAATTAACGATGCTGGAGAGTGAGTGAGAAAAAATTTAGGAGCAAAATCTTTGAATAAGAGGAAGAAATTCAGCCGGGTTCGGTGGCTCAGCCTGTAATCCCAGCACTTTGGGAGGCCGAGGCGAGTGGATTGCCTGAGCCCACAAGTTTGAGACCCACCCGGGCAACTTGGCAAGACCTCATCTCTACAATTAAAAAAAAATGAGCCGGGCATGGTAGAGCGCACCTGTAGTTCCATCCACTTGGAAGGCTGAGGTGGAAGGATCACTGGAGCCCAGCAAGTTGAGGCTGCGGTGGCCGGGAGCATGCCACTGCAGTCCAGTCTGGGTGACAGAGTGAGACTCCAACTCAAAAAAAAAAAAAAGAAATTAGAATTGAGGGTTGCCTAGAGATTGAACTGTGCATTATTTGAAGTAGAAGACAGGATATAAATAGCAGTACGATTAGTATGTGGATATGCAAAAGTGTAAATACCATATAGTATTCAACTTGTTAACATTTAGAAAATTGTGCTCTGTAGTACACAGGATAGGCAGAAAAACTCTTCACATTGAGGGAAATTCTCATAGCAAGCATTAATCAAGTGCTTAGTGTGTTTTATTCTTTACCTATAAGTCATATAACCATCACAAAGAAACCTACAAAGTAGATATTCTTATCCCTGTTTATCAGGTGAGGAAGTTTTAGGTTACAAAGAACAAGTGAATTGCCTGAGGCGTCATAGTTAATAAGTGGTAGTGTGCTAACACTAGTATATGTATTCTGTATTCCCAGTAATGAGGAAAGGAAAGTCAAGTATTACCTGATTAATTCTTTCTTAAGAAATTGACTTTAAATGATAAAGCATCTAGGTTTAGTGTTACTGTCAACTCCATTTCCCATCCCGACACCCAGGGAAGGATGAGGCAAGAGGGCAATCTGGCTTATTATACTACTTATATTAGGCTTATTAACCTACTCACATAGGGGAAACAGCCACAAATTTATTTAACAGGCTGGATTTGTCTGTACTCTTTTTCTGTGTTTTCTCTTGGAACAACTAAAATGCCCTAACTTAATTGGATGGATGATAGGATTGAGCTCTACCTACATTCAAATCCTTGAGGCATCAACTGGCACTGGGCTCTGGGAGGACACGGTCTGAGTCTACACCACTGGACTTCTTCACAGGCTTTCCCAGTTGTGTTCACAGGGCAGGAACAGGAGAAGTCATCCCACAGGGAGTAGCAAGCACCTCCATTGTGACAAGGGTTGAACTGAGCAGAAAAGCAATCAATATGAAAATGCTGAAGATGAGGCCACACCTCTGTTATTTAAAAATGTTAATTTCTCTACATCTTTTCATGATAAACTTTTAATAGCCATTGCTAATTAAAGATAATAAAACTGACTACGGCCATTGCCACTTCCTTTCTAAAAGAGTAGAGTGATGAGAGAACGAGAGAGAGAGAGAGAGAAAGAGGAAAAATATAAAATTAATATACCACACAAGGAGGATTTTTTAAAGTAGAGCAATGTTCTCTGTGGTTGACATATTACTTGGCACATTTTTACATACATTAATAACCATTTAAGAAGGACATTATTATTCCTGTTTTTACAAATAAGGAAAATGATCCCCCCACCCACCCAGTTGCCCAAGAAGTAAAATAGTAAAACTTGATAGCTCGATCTTCTGGGTCCCAATCAGTGACTGCCCCTCCCTTCACTGGTCTGTCCCTGAATCAGAGATATACTATTATTATTTGATTTCTCTCAAGGATGCTCACAAAGTATTCAAAATAAAGTATTTAAAAAGAAATTTCTTAGAACCTGGTCTGTGTTTGTCCCAGGTCTACTGTGAATATGTGATTTAGGCAAGTTATAAAACCTTTCACAGTGTCGATATCTGTGAATGATATAAATTTGGACAGCAATGACTGTTCTCTACAGTAGAATTCTCTTTAACAGAATTAAATAGTTTAATCCATGTAAAGTAGTGCCTAGTACATTGGAAATGTTCCTATAACAATTTTGTAATAACTCATTTGTGAATATTTAGAACTAAGACTAGTATATGGCAATAGTTGAAGTTTAATAGATGGTCAATACATATAAATACATTTCCTTCTTTTCTTCTGAAAGGTCATGCAGAGCTGACAATTGCTTATATTTAAGTTGCTCTTAGAAGAGCATGCAAAATATGTAAAGCATTATGTTTCAGAGGATTTCAAATCCAGTTACCCAAAGGAAATTACCACTCAGATATTTTTTTCCTATTGACTTAACAAAGGTTCAAAACAACAGTGGCTGGGCATTTAAGATATAGCTAATAGTATTTCCAAAAAGAGTTAATTCAGTTCAAACTCTGGGATGCCAAGGCCGGGTATAGTGGCTCAGCCTATAATCCCAACGCTTTGGGAGGTCGAGGTGAGATGATTGCCTGAGTCCAGGGGTTTGAGACCAGCCTGGGCAACCTGGTGAGACATCGTCTCTACTATTAATCACAAAAACTAGCTGGGTGTGGTGGCATGCGTCTGTAGTTCCAGCTACTTGGAAGGCTGAGGCAGAAGGTTCGCCTGAGCCCAGCAGGTTGAGGCTATGGTGGCCATGAGAGTGCCACTGTACTCCAGCCTGGGCAACAAGAGTAAGACTCTAACTCAAAGAGAAAACAAAACAAAAATATCTGATACCATGAAGAGTTTAGGAAGGAAAATATTATTATTCTTAAGTAACGTTGTTGTGAGAGTAGAAGAAGCATGTAGCTGGAGTTATCCTGGTTGGTTAAATAGATCATGATGTCAAAAAGTTCAAGGCCATATTTCTATTGCTCGATATAAATCCCTCAGTCTTGTTGGGAAAATAGAGATGAAATATTATTTTGTTGTGTGGGTCAGTAAAATGACTTTCTAAACAAAAATGGTTTTAATAAATTATCTGTTTTATGAAATAAAAGTTTAACATATAATATGTACATGGTGGGCATGAATACTCTTACCTTGCAGATGTTGTCTCCAGGACAGCCTTGGGTCACATTGACAAGAATTGGATTGAGAGATGGCTTGCTTGTTGAATTTGGGAAGAATTCCAGATTTTGGTTGTCTAATCTTACATCTTGGATACAGCCTTTGAAGAACCCACCATTAACTTCAGTCTCTTGCCTGTCAGGTAGGCCACCAATGTAGATGGCATCTCCCCTTTGAATTTTCCACTTAGAAGTGGAAATAGATCCTAGGTTTTGTGAAGATTGATACAATTCAACTTTGTTTGGCTTGATTTTCAAAGATATCAAGTGCACATTTCCATCACTAAGAATAAATTTTACTACCAATTTGGGGGTGCTTGGAGTCAGCATTGCTAGTCTGCCATGCTCTAGCCAGACTCGGATGTATTGATAGGTACTGTTTTGCAAAGCTAGAAGTAAGCCTGATGGTCGAAGTGTTCGGACGAACATGGAGAGACTGAATTTCTCTCCATAGCTCTCATCGAGAGTAAAGACAGCATATCCAGTGGAGTCATCAAGGCCAAATCTGCCTGCCGCATATTCTTCAATGTCAAAATAGAGGAGAAGAAAAAAAAAAAGAAGAAGAAACATCTTAAGACTCAGAAGTAAGAATATTAAAATTTTATACACACACATATATACCTTTTAAAATTCAAGACAAGCTTATTTGATAGAATAGTGATTTGGTCTCATTTTCTAAATTTCTGAATTTACTTTATCACATCAAAAACTACATTTTGGTTTTTAGTTTAGAGTGGAGTCCCTTTGATCACAAAAGATACACACACACACACACACACACACACACACACACACACACACACACACACAATATCTCTGCACTGATAAGTTAAAGAGGCTTTCCTTCACTGCCTAAAATGTTAAAGTAGCAGATACTACTACAACTTGGTGCAAAAAAGTTTTTTCAGCAAGAGCACTTCATGTAATATCTGTAAGCAGATTGTTTCAGGCAGTCATACTCTTTGCTATTTGAAGGCATGTTGAAGCAAACATTATTAAACCTAATTATTATTTGTAAAGAACAGAAATCAAGAATTGGGCTATGAAATCCCCTTTTGGGACAACAGCTCACATAAAAGCAAGGCAGTTGAACAAAGACAAGGACCACCTCCTGTGGTCCTGATTGGGAGTAAGAGATGCACAGCAAACAGAGGAGTAAGGGGCACAGCTTACTTAAACCCAGCCAGCATCTTTTGTGGTCAGAGGAGTTAGCGATGCACTTCTGTGACAATACTATTAATAATATGCATCACCTCAAGAAAACTCTGGAGATATATAAAAACAAAACCTGACATTTAAAAATATTGCTAATATAGTAGGAACAAAAATTCCTGTCCATTAAAAGCTTGTATTCTAGTTGGAGGAGACACACTAAACACAGTTAAGGAAGCAAAGTATATGTATGTCTGATGGTGAGAAATCCTTTGGTATAAAATAAGCCAGATAGAGAGAGGGAATATGAAGATTTTCAGGGTGGAATTGTAATTTTAAATTGAAAAATCAAGGAAGGACTCTCCAAAAAGGTGACATTTGAGCAAAAACCTAGAGAAAGTAGAGACGTTATCGTAGTAATTCAAGAGAGAAATAATGATGGCTTAGATCAGCAGTAATGTGAAATTTGTGAGAAGTCATCAGATTTTAAAAATTATTTTGAAGAACAGATAGAATTTTCTAGAACAAGTTCATCTCCAAGGGCTTTGGCCAAAGCAACTAGACAAGTAGACATGTAGAGTTTTCATTTGCAGAGATAGGGAAGAAAACTGGAGAAATAGATTTTTGGGGGTAGTGGAAGTCTAGGCTAACTTTGAGATGCCCTGTTAGATTCCAAGTGGAAATGACTAGTAGACAGTTGATGCAGAGGTTCTGGAGAGATGTTCTAGTCTAGCTGTAATCATTAAGGGTTTGTCAGTATATAGGTTTTTAAAGCCACAGACTGGATGAGACACAATGAGAACGAATAGAGTGAGAGAATACAGCAGTCCAAGAACTGAGCTCCTAGTCACTAGATGATTGAAGGTAAAGGAACTGGTGAGAGAGGAGCTAGTAAAATAAGAGGAGAATCAAGGGACATTGATGTCCCATGAGCCTAATGAGAAAAGAGTTTTCAGGAAGTGGGAGTGTTCAACTGTGTTAACTGTTACTGAGAGGTCAAGTAAATTGAAGACTTGAGAACTGATTATTGAATTTTGCAATCTAGAAATCACTGATGAACTTGACAAGAGCATGTGTTAGAGATATTGTTGTTTTCAAATCTTTACATCAAATCATAATAGAAAAAGCATATTCTAACATGTTTAAATGTCATATGGCCTAGTTGAAGTCTGGGCCAAGGTAAGACGTATTTTAGTTTAGCTGAACTATAGTGAAACTTGCTTAGGCAATCATTTGTATTTGAGGATCTTTTGCATAAAAGGTTACATTTTCAGAATTCTGACTTGATTTCCTCAGGAATACTGCATCTTGAATCTGCATTTGGAGACCACCTGCTCCAGGCAACTACCGGTGGCTTTCAAAGCGACTGTTAGATAAAATAACCCCTTTGAAGAGGTTAACATCTCTGAATACACTGCAGCACTTTCATATGAGATAAAATACTTAATAAGAAAATTTAGCCCTTGAAGCTCCTGAGGTTTGAAGATATGCACAGATTCACTCAACCTCAGGGATGGTGGGGTGCCTGCTGGTCATCCTAGGATGCCTTCAGCATCACTTTGTGGGTTGGAATTAAAAGATAGAACGCAGAGCTGGGTTTTTCTCCTCTCAGAAGTTTAACTCTTTAGCAATTCTATTCTTCAGAAATCACAAGCAAGTAGTCAGTGTGTGTGATTTGCTACATGATTTTAGAAACACCTGGAGTCACATATGACTTGGCTGTGGATAGGGAAAGGATGATTATCATATACACTGTTGATATGTCCTGAAGAGGGACAGCATATACGATGAAAAACAATTTTGACAAGCTTAAATGATTGATGGAATACAAGATGAAATATCCTAAGACTAGATAAGAATCACTTAGATCTAAATGTGCCTCATAAATTTAGGGTGGGAAAAATGGGACTCTTTGCCATCGTGAGTGACAACAATAATCATGAAATGTGGCTGCCAAAAAGTCAATGTAATATTAGGCTGCAAAACAGAAGCACTTTTGCCTCAGCAAGCATATGCAGTTACCACATTTTAGAAGAAATATGGATAAGCAAATGTATCTCAAAGCAAATTAGCAGTTGATCATGTACCTGAAGACTGCCATATGAAAAACATGAAAAGAAACTAAGAATGTTTAGCATGATAGATGAGATGGCTTGGATGGCTCAAGATATTTTTCTTCAGTTATTAAATTTTCTCAAGAAGAAGATATGTTAATTCTTATTTGCATGCCTTCAAGAATTACAATGTTTTCAACTAATGAAAGCTATGAGAAAAATATTGTATTCAAATATAAGAAAATAACTTTTTGGGAAATTTTGGCAAGATAGAGCGAGTGAGTTCTCCACCCCTAAAGGTTTTTAAGCGGAGATTTAAGCCACCTTTGGCAAGCACAACAGTAGGAAAAATTCAGTCATGGAATGAATCCTTATCCATACCAAAAAACTATAATTCTGAGATGATAAGATCGTCATACTCTAGGTGTATGACTGAGGGGAAAAACATATGTAAATTGCTTCTATAAATCAAATATTCTCCAGAGGGCAAGAGGTAGGTGATGCATTTATCCCAAACACTGTCTTGGAAGCTCCATGTTCTTTTCAAAATCAATGCAAGATATACTGAGATGAACTTACAGACAGTTCTGGCAATTAAGCTTAGGGATACTCGTCTCAGAACTCCTTTTATTGAGCAATTAGATGATTGTTAAACAGATCAACTTTAAGATATTGGAAATCCTTACGTCCTTTGTGTTTAGTCATCCAACTAACTCCTCTATCCTGTCTGCTTGTTCATTGCAGAATGGATCATTATTGGGAAACATTGAACCACAGTAATGAATTGGCTGAAGCTTGCCTTTATGCTTTTCAGTATGTCTCCTCCCTCTTGAATATGCAAGTACAATGGCAGAAAAACTCTATTTTCTCATTAATGCTTTCAAGCATTGTTTGTAGTGGGAATACACTCTTCAGAAAATTCTCCTCATGAATAATAGAAAATACAGAATATTTTAATTTTATGATGAAGAGGTGATATAAAATTTAATTAAAAAAACTTATACTAAGAATTTTCAGGGGAAAAAAAAAGATTTTATGGACCCCCACTCGATAAGTAATCTTTTGAAGCCAAATATCTTCATGAGGGTTAAACAGTTTCAAATAGTGTGGGGAATAAGGAAATCAGGGAAAAGTGGTGGAAGGATAGCAAATTCAGTTACTTGGTTTAAAAAGTTCATGATTTTCCTAGTTGGAAAAAATAAACTAAAGAAAACCAGAGCCCACTGGATTGGCACCGCTTGAATCTATTTACTAGGACAGTTAACATCACCATGGTTAGTATTAACCTCATGGGTCACTGCATCTGTTAGCCAGTCAAAATGAGTCAGCATCTGTTTGTTATTTTGTATATGTAGTAAAAATATTGCCTTAGGTTAATTAAATTTTTCTTCAAAAAGTGAACATTGCCTCAACATAATTTCCCCATTTCTCCTTTAAAAAAAATCACAAACAACTTGCCATTGCATTTAAAATATTACATAGAGCTAGTAGATATCATACCTCATTGTCAAACAGGACCATGATTTGTAATAAATATTGTGCCCAGGGGAAACCCCTGAATAGTTTCTAATAATTCTTAGCTATTTTAAAATGGAATAGAGTATAGGCTAAGACTGGTTTTAATTTTACTTCATATAAAGCAAGGGAGACTATTTACCAGATGTTGTCCTACTTCAAGTTACTCTAAAGTCTTAGGGTAAATTACAGCTGAACTTCAAAGCAGTCTGTTACAATCACCCCTCAGACTCTTTCAATGGCTGATAATAATATTAAAAAGAAACAGTTATGTATTGATCACTATCAACAGCAATCTCTGGAACAACATTGGAAGTTAAGGATTGTAAAATACTTTTCAAACAGTTATTTGCTAGAGAAATTAGATCAGTTATGGTATCTACCAAATTTTACTGCTGCTACTTTCCAAACTTTCTTTTTTTTTTCTTATGGCACCTAAGTAGATTATTTGTTTTCTCCAATGCATCTTTGGAAAAAATACCTTTGAATAAAATACGTGCTTTATAAAGGTACTAAACTTGAGTAGGATTTCAGGGCAAGAGTGAATTGCTTTAAAAAAGAGAACAAGGAAATGAATATTTACTGAGAATTTCCTATGCACAAGATATTGTGAAGTAAGTGGCATTGAGAAGTTTTATGTCTAAAAGTTCTTTTTTTACTAAGAGAGTATTTATCTTTCAAATAAAACACAAAAAATTTCTGATATCCAAAAAAAAAAAAACCCAATAAAATCATGCTAGCATTTTGTAAACACCGAGATGAAAAACTCTTTGGAAATGAGCTATCTGTTTATTTTTTACTTCTCTGTACTAGTGAAACTCTGATGTCCTACGAATCCACTCAAAATAATTAATGAACAACACTGCCCTCTTTTTTTCTCATCAGTGGGCAACCAGCATCAGAAGTCCTACAGGGTCATTGTTTTATAACAGGCAGAAGCAGACGAGCTGTTTTTCCTGTTTCTGCTCTGAGTCGTAGAACTCCTAGGCACTCAACCTTCTCTCACCTCTTAGACAGTTGGGGCCTTTGTAGGGTCTGTGGCAGTCACATTGGTAACCCAGCCACAAGTTTATGCAGCGTCCTCTACTTTGACAAGGTTGGCTTTCACACCAATCCTTTCTCACACAGCCTGCCTTGACATTTAATGATGAGCCAGATGAGATGTTCTCCAGGGTAATGTGATTCTCATCAATTTTAACGTCTTGGAGACAGCCTATAAACGAAGGTGTGGATGGTGTATTATAGATGTTAAGCAGAGCAACATCACTGCTGGTCGTTCCCACTGGTAAACCACCCAAAAAGGAGTTCTGAAAAGCACATATTGATTGATCGTTTTCAAATGGAGAAGGAGCTTTACTGATGCATTTCTCCTTACAGGAGTCGTCGATTAAGGTAAGGGTCACAGCCTCTGCAAATATTACCTCCACAGAATGCCACTGTCCATCGCTGGTGTTGTGGGAAATGTCCAGAAGCACCTTTGGCTGACTGTTGACCTGAATTGATAGGTGGATGTTGCCATTTAGCAGCTCCAGTTTCAAAACTACATCCCTGTTGCCTCGGAAAAGTAGAAGTGCCATTGGTTGAACAGTCTGAAACCTGAGAGCCATGTTACAAAAGGAAGCTTTCATTGCAACTGATCTACTTGTGACCCATAGGAAACTGTTGCCCTCAAATGAAAGTGTGGTGATGATTTCACACAGGGATCCGGTATAGCCAGCTGGACAAAGGCAGCTGAAACTATGCTGGCCATCTTGAAAGTGAGGAATGCATATTCCATTATGTAGACATTGATGATGGATACAGCCCAGGAGAATCTCAGAACAGTCTCTTCCTCCATAAAATGTTCTAGAAAGGTGATCAAATGGACAATGGCAAGTATAATTCCCAGGTGAGTTCTCACAGATACCACCATTTTGGCAAGGGTTTGAAGAGCATTCATTGATGTCTTCCTCACAGTGGATTCCTATAAAGTAATTAAAAATAGGTTAAAATTACATATATTCAAATGAGAAATGAAGGTTTCACACAATTTTCATGTATAATCTTTCAGAAGTGCAGCGCTAGGTCAGGTTACAACTGTAATGGAGTAGAATGCAAATAGTTATTGAGGAAAACTAAAATCATTTATGTCATTTCACATGTGTTGTGATGAGGAAAAGTGTAGTCCTAGTAGACATTAAATTCTTCCTCTAGGAATTGATAATTAGCCAAATACAGTGATTGACTCAAACTACCATTGTTAGTCTTACATGCAGCACTGAATATCATAAAAAGGAAAAAAAGGAAAAAAAAAAATAGCTCCTGGCAGTGATGCTAGATACAAATTACTCATTTGGGAACTTCTTTCTCAGATATTGTTTATCTTGTCCCAGGATGCAGATGTCACTCTATTTTACCTGAAAACAGTGATTTTTGCCTTTTACCTTATTTGTATCTCCCCCATAACTGTTAAAACCAAAGTTTTCCGGATATATAGATGAATGGGAAAATTCTCACTATGGAGGGTTTCTAAGGTGAATGGATGTCCCCATTTCCTCCTTTCTCACAATTCTAGTAAGTTGTGACATTTCTACTATAACAAGATCCTGTTTATTATTATGACTTCACTTTCTATTACTTTTTTCTGGTTCCATGTCAAAGACAAATTTCTAATTAGAGAATTATTAGAATTCATTTACTCGAAGTAACAAGAAAAATATAACACCTTTTAAGAGCGATGGTTATTACTTTTCCAGTGAAGTCCAAATGAACAAATAGTAAAAATAAAAATGAACATAACTATAACATTTTATGGTTTCCCCAACATGTTCAGCCAAATTATAATATTTGTGCTTAACACAGTCTTCTGAGGTTTTCAAGGCAGGTATTCTTAGTTCTCTTTCACAGAAGAAATTGAACTTTAGAAAGACTGATCTAAATTCCAAAGTACTTTTACCATCTGATCCTAAATTAACCAGGTTTTTAAAGTTCAGTCTGACACTATGTTTTTTAATTAATAATTTAGTGCATTCTCATTTATTGTTTATAACTAATATGTATGCTGTATTTTCCTATTTAAGTCTATGCCCCAATGTATATTTTCTAAAAATGAACCCCCAAACTCCTATACTAATAGTGTTGGAACTGAATCCCAGTAAGGATATGTGATCTTAAACAGTTACATGCACTTTCTATGTCTCAATCTTCCATCTACAAAATGGGACTAATAAATAGAATTTAAATACAGGACTCTTAAAGATTAAGCAAGCGAGTTAGGACACGAAAAATGCTCATAACATTGCTTGGTATATAATACATTCTCAACAAATGTTGGACATTAATAACCAAAATAATTACCTTCTTCTTTTTTTTTTGAGAAAGCAGGATTTGTTAAGAGGACAGAAAAGTGGGAGGGGACCCAAAGGGGCTACCCCCAAATAATTACTTTCTAATGACAAAATTCATAGTACTGTGGTCACTGAGAGAAATTATGTAGAAAGTTTTAGCGTATACAGTGTCCCAGAAATTGCATAATTTTACATGATGAGAAGTTTACTTGGACAGCATATTAGTCTAGAAACTCATTAGATTGTACTTCCTATAAGGGAAGGGAAAATGACTGTTTTGTTCACCAATGTATGTCCAAAACACAGCATAGTACCTGGCTCATATTTGGCATTCAGTAATTGATTTTTGAATGAATCAATGAAGGATGACTTATCTAAAGTGACTAAATGCTTTTTACAATGCATTTAATCTGATCCAGAACCAATGTGCTCTTTTTGTATATATTTCCAAATAGATTTCTACAATGTTAATCTTTGCCACTTACTATCCACACATGTAGGCACTTGATTGGACCCTATTGTATTTATATTTTACTGTAGTGGGTTTACTTTCACACAAACTTTGGAAATTCAAAAGTACTATAAGATCTGTGAAAACAGTGAATGTTTTATAATATTATGCCCTTAGATTTGCACAGTGGTAAAGATATGTATGACAAAATGTTTGATAAATAGAAAGAACAGAACTGAATCAAATCTATATCTATCTAAATGTTATATAATTATACTTAGTGGTACAGAGAAATGACACAGGATTTACAAGTAAAGTGACAGAAGTTTTCTAATGCAAGTTTAATTTAACCAAACATGAAAAGTTTAAACTTTTGTATTAGAAGGTATTTTACTTAAATTTGATTTTCACAGGATTTTGAGAACAAAAAAAATGAATAAGCATTTAATTAAGACTTATATTGAAAAACTTATAAGGTAAAACCAAGATAAAACATTATTTTTTTGCTCCTACCATAACTCGCCTCTTGATAACATCCCTGCCATGATTTTTCTGCCCCATCTTGAATAATAGCATCGTGGTCACTTTTTAAAAAACCACTATAATTTTACTGACCAGCCACATATAATGATCAAAACTCTCAATGCCATTTAGAATACAATCTTCGTTCTTTTTTCTGCTAGGCTAACTTCAGGCTGTCCTGAAGGAAGACTTGGAAGGTCTCTTCTTTCTTTTTCTATCCTCCACTCTTCCTACTCCCAAATTTATAACTAGGTTTTTGGCCTTTAGAAGACTGTTTGTGGAGAAAAGAACAGGAAGGAAGTAAAGAACGTTTTCACCTGATTAGTGCTGATGGAATATAGGTCCATGCTCCCTGAGTCTGGCAGATGTGTAAAAGTGATATTTGTTCTAGGAACCATTTGTGAGTTCCTTGGAGCCTCCTCTTCTCTGTTCTTCCCACTGAGACTCACTCCAGAGACCTGCGAGGCAGACCAGCAGGCATTGCCTCTCCTGGGACAGGCTACTCTCAAATTTGTTTCTCCCCAACTCCTTTGCTGACCTTTGCTCTTGCTTCTTTACCAATTATCTCTGTTGGGGTTCCCTCACTGCCTGACAGAGGCCCATTGGGAAGGATCCATTTTATACCAACTGCTAACTGATATTTCTACCATGGGTTCCCCATCAGGCCTCAGGATTCATGAACCTTTGACCTGGAGTTGAAAGGGAGTACATCTACTTTTCAGCACAGCACAGTAGCCATTCTTTCTCTTTCTTTCCAACTCAGGTTAAGAGTTACACCCGTTCATCTTTAGACTCCTTGGGCAGGTGAAGAATCTAGTATAAGTTGCCTTCCCTCCATGTTGAGTTGACACTGGGGTACTCTTTGAAACCACTTTGCTTGGGTTAGAATTTTACTTCCAAATCCAAATTTGAGGAGTTGAGGGATAATGCAAGGCAGCAGCAAGTTGCTCCAGAGAAATCTCTTTAGATAACAGACACTCTAAAATTGCCTTTCTAGAGTTTTCACATACCCTTGATATGAGTATAAACCTTTCAAAAGCTTGAAGCTTGTTATCTGTATTTATTATGACGTTCTATATTTTGGTCTGTCTCATAATTTACTTTGGTGCCTGACAACAGTCACATCTTGAATTCTTCGTTGAAATTTCAATATACCACTTTCTCAAATTTACAAAATGCCTGCCCTGTGTCCTATTCTCAGAGTATTGTGGGAGACATCAAATAGAAAACATAAATGTGACTTCAATATGCTTGCAATATAATGGGATGACAAAGTGCAAATTTATGAAAATATATTGTACATAACAGGCTTCCAATGGATGTATTTAATATGTGAGAATCAAAGTCAAGCAACATTAAAGCATATTTAGAAAAGTTTTATGGAAAAGGCTTTGAATGATAAATAATGATAAATCTTTAGATTTGATAAATCTTTAAAATCTTTAGATTTTAAAATTTGATATTACAAATTGTCAAATAAACCAATATTGGTCACATATCTATCACATATAAGATATTGTAGATAACATGGAGTATTACCTATTTACTGTTCTCAATGAGTTTAATAGAGAGGTAAGACAAATTTGTGAAAAACTAAATGAGAGTGCAAATCAAGACAACACCGAAGGGATATCATTAGGCAGTATATAATGAATTGTAAGTCAATTGTACAGGCAATAGCTTCTGTAGAGACTTTGGGAAAAGGTGGCTCTTTGGCTGGGCTGAAAAGGATTTATGGAGATAGGATTTGATATAGGTTTTCAAGTATAGATCAAATTGACAAAGAGATCATTGTATATAGAAATTTACTTGCTTATTTAATTAATTAAAAACTGTCACTTCATTTTATTTTTCTAAAAATTTTTAGCTCAGTATCTGATTTGTATGAATAAAAAAACACTTCTCTGCAAAAAGCTTAAGACATGTTAAAGTGACAATGAGTTCGGCAATCTGATTGGCATGGAGGATTTGTGTAGGAAAGTCAACTCAGAAAGGTTAGATGTAGCCAGACTGGAGAATGTCTGGGAAATTTCCACATTTTAAAAATTGTATTTGTTTATTTTATGGCAGTGAGAAGTAATAGGTAATTGTTAGATAGAAGACTAACATGGTTTCTCAAAAAGGTCAACTTCACAAGGATGATATGTAGCACAGAGTAAAGTGAGAAGAAACTAGAGATTGGAAGGCCAGCTAAGGCAGCTATTAAAATTATTTGTCTCATAGACTATTAGGGTCTGAAATAGTTTGTTTATTTCTTTACAATTTACAGCACCCTTTCATTTATGCTTGGTCAGCAAATAGCTGCAGATGGTAATGTTTCTTTTCTTTCTTTTTTTTTTTTTACTGCTGCTTACAATATTTTTTCTTATAATTGCTAACATTTACGCATTTGATCTTTTGAAAAAAACTATGAATAATTTGATTGTGTTTTTCCTTTAAATATAAAGAAGCTAGTTTTAGATTTTTAACCGTCATTAAAAAAGCAAAATAAGGATGAGAATAAAGCCTGAATAAACAGAATCAGGTACAAAAAGTAGACTGATAAACAGTTATTCTTGCCTTTATCTCATTTAAAATCAATTCTATTGACATCTCCAATGTAAAATAAGATCAGACATATTTATCTGATGAACCAGAAAACTAAAAGTGAGGGAAAAAAAATCAA